CCCGCGTACAGTTGCCGCAATCATGCGGAAACTGTACGCGGGCTATAGTAATAGAGCTATAGTACCAGGGTACACCGGAACGTACCCAGGGTACGTTCCGGCAGTACCCTGGGGGACATAGACCCTCTCAGCGATACTATTGCCATCTTGATGTGAAATAAAAAAAATGTAGGCCTAGAACGTAAATAAATATCTATGAAATTTGAACTTTGAGCCAGCAATGATGGTAGTGGTAGTGGCACTGGCAGCGCTCCAGATAGCATGTGTATTTGAGTAAAATGCGCATTGAAAACACTCATTTACGCATACATGTACAAAACATAGAGTACAGAATACAGATACGATAGCGTTTGCCCCAGTACGTATGAATGTGTACAAACTTTGAGTACAATCACTGTATACATGTATGTAGTTAGCTAGACCAATAAATTGCGCCCTAAAATTTTTTATATTCTGATGTTATTTTAGAAAACAGAAAATAACATCTGAAAACCTAAAATAACATCAGAATATAACAATTTTTAGGGCACAATTTATTGGTCTAGTAGTTAGCCACAAGTTCCCATCTCGCTTAACACTACGTGGCGTGTAACAGTCGGAGAGCCTGGTCGGTTTAGTATGTAGTGTTCTTCAACGTATGCGTAACGTTAGTGCTGTCACTTTGTCAGTCATTTTAAACCAAAACGTACAACACGCACGCACACGCACACATGTACGCACGCACACTCACGCGTGCACACGCGCACAGTCACGCGCGCACACACGCACGCACGCGCGCGCGCGCACACGCACAAAAAACGCACAAAAATAATTTGAAAATTGATGAGTAAATACTCATCCGATGCAAAAATGATCCGGAGCACTGTAGTGGTAGTGGTATTTGGAATTATTTGCAGTAGCAAAAGCAGCACCTGGGACGCAAGACTTTGCCTGGCACTATAACCATAGCATTTAAATGAGTTTCAACTTGTAATAGTCAAATTTGTTTCATATCTATTTTTTATGCTATTTTTTATCATGTATATAATTAATCACACAGCTATAGGAGTTTTTCACAAACACTAATATCCCCCGTGATGATTTTTTGCCTTTGTAAGCTTTTCCTGAAATCCAAATTCTGAATCATACATTCGCTTGTCTTTGTGTATTTTATGTAGACCGCTCATTGAAGAGTTGGTGTAAAATGATATTTTGTTTTCTCTATTCACCAATAATACCATCATCGCTGATGCCCCTCACAGGTTTTCCCTCACAGTATTGCATTTTCTCTGGTTGTTTGGGAAGACCCAATTTTAACCTGATGTCATAACTGTTTTTGGTGTCTCTGACACTTGGGTCCCTGGTGAATGCATGCTTCAGTACCGGAAAGGATGTGATGCCAATCTTCAAACCAAGAGTGGGAAGCAATTTAGTAAAAACCATTTACTTACTGCAGTTGAGGCCTTGACCTCTCTACAATGACACACATAGCATACCATATGTAATGTTAAAACTATATATAATTAGATGCAAAAGGTTGAAACGTTGGAGGCAGAATTTGGGTTTCACTATTGTATCAATAAATTGTAAATAGTGTAGAAAAAATGTATAAGTCATGTAAAGGTTATATTTTAATTGTGCATGCAAGGTGCTGATGTTATGTTATGATAAAAGTGTAATGTTGTAAGGGCCACAATGTAAATAAGTGTGCTTGTCATACTTTTGGTGTATCTGTCCTTGGTAGTTATCTATCCACATATTTTATTTATATATATATGCACTAATAATTATCAATTCATGTATAAAAAATTACCTCATCCCTAATCCTTTATCCTTTAATTTATCCTTGGTAGTAATACTTAAAATCTTGAATTTTAAATGATTGTAATAGAATGTATGAGTGGATAACTATTGAAATAATGAAAGAATCATTTAAGTTTTAATTCTATTTAAGTTTCAGTATGTTGTTTCAAGTAAATGCGGATAAAAGAAAGTATCATTGCAATGTATCAATTATTCTGTTCTTCAGATTACACAATAATGTGAAGAATTCCCTTCACGGGCCGAAGGTGACAGAGGCTGTGCCATCACCAGCCGGTCCTGTGAAGATATTCGACCCAACCCAGCCGCTGCAACCAACAGGTAACACTGAGAATGCTCCGCTGCCTACGGCAGCTGCCCCTCAGCTCGCCCAGCCGTACCCCGCGGCGGCTGTCCACGGTTACAGCGACGGATGCGGAGAAAACGAGCAGCGTGCGCCGGCTGTAGATGGCAGCCAGTACTACGCGCAGTACGGGCATCCGACGGGCGACGTTGGTGAGCAGTATTCCCAGCAGGGCGCCCCGGTAGTGCAGTACGACCAGTACCAGTGGTCGCAGCAGTGCGGCTACGCTAACCCCGCGCAGGGCTACGCGGGCGAGCAGACTCATCCCGCTGCGTACCCACTAGCCGACCCGCAGCAGCAGAAGGGTGACATCTCACAGCAGTCGTGGCCGAACACGGACGAGGGCGTAGACGGACTCGCGGGCGCGCAGCAGCACAGCTGGCACGCGTACCAGTACGGAGACTGGCACGGGCAGGAGATCCGCGCGGCAGCGGGCGCGAACTTTCAGCAGCCCGCGCAGGGTCCGACCAGCGGCGACCCGTCCCCCGATCAGTATGCCCCCCAGGACGCACACCACGGGCAAGAGCCCTTACCGACGGCTGGCGAGTACGCGTCCGGTTACGTCGAGGGCGTGTCGGCGGCGGACGCGTGCCCGCAGGAGTGGGGGCAGGGATACGAGCAGCGCACGTACCCCGAGCCTGTGCCACAGCATACCGAGGATACGGTAGCGGCGGCGATGCATAACGACGCGGGCACCAGCGTGCAGGCCGAGGCACGGTCCTTCGACGCCGGCAGCGTCGACTACTGGGGTAACATCGGCAGCGGGTGCGAGCCGGCAGCCGTGGTGGAGACGCCTGCTGTGGAGGAGCCGGCGGAGCTGCATCAGCTGCCCGTCATCACCCAGGCGGACGCGCAGATCAACACAGCGTCAACGTTCTTCGGCCGGAGCAGCAGCGAAAGCGAGTTCGAGTTCATCTCGAAGGAGAACGAAGATGGTGGCGGCGCGGGCGAGGCGGCGGCGGTGGCGCCCCTCGGCTACACGCTCAGCTGTCACAGCTCGATCAGCAACTCGAGTCTGCAGACGATCAATCTCTCGCGTCGTGAGTCGTGCGAGCAGGTGGCCGCCGACGCTCGGCTTGACCCCGCGGCCGGCCACGACGGCAATCATCTCTCACTGCCCGACGGGCAGAACGGTCAGCGACACCACCGGTCAAACTCAGAGCCGTTTGACCATGAGGAAGCAGCGGCCCGCGAGGAGGGCGGACGTGACTTGCCGTTGGCGCCGCATCCACCTCCGGTCGATTTCTTTCTGCCTTCGCTCGGCGGCACGCCCACGGCCGAGTCGCACGAATCGGCACCAGCGCAATTCGCAGGCGAAGATAGTTCTGCGCTAGTCGGCAGTTCTGCGACGGCGGGCGTCGCCATCGAAGCGGCGACTGCATTCACAGGTGAGGCGGCGTCGCCTTCTCCCATCCCTGATCACAATATTGAGTCCACCGCAGACGCCATGCAAGAGACGAAGCCATCGATCGCGATGCTGTCTCAGAGTTCCGAAAGCCAGCAGTCGGAGGGGAGCGCAGCATCACATGTCAGTGCCACCTGTCATCCAGGTGAAGCCATCCAGGGAGAGCCTAGTGCGATCGATGGTATCGCGGAGCAAACCGGGGCCCGCCTCGACGTCGCTGCTGAGGAGGAGAAGCAGGCGGAGGGGGAGGAGGAGGAGGGGGTGCCCGCGTACCACGCGCACCCGTCCTACACGCAGGAGAAGATCCGCAGCGCGTTTCCCGAGGCGATGCAGCCGACGAGCCTGCTGCCGGCGGCCGACGTCTGTGCGGCGACGCCGATCATCTTCAGCCCGCCGCAACTGGGCAACATCTTGACCTACCAGACGCCGTCACCCGTGGCCAGCGTCTCACCCGCGCGCGACAGCAGCGCGCAGTACGACTGCGACGTGATGCAGCCACCGCATCTGGCGACGCCTGCGGGGACCGTGCCCTTTGGGATTCCGTCAGAGAGCGTGGATAACCGTCAAGATGCCGTCGACAGCCGCAGGGTTCCCGCGCCGGGCGGCGACGGCGGGATGCCGTACGCCGTGCCCTCAGTGCCTCAGCCCGCTGCGCTCCCGCAAGTGGAGCAATCTGGCTTCCCACCACAGCCGATACTGCAGCCGATGCAGTCTGCCGTCTTCGTACCGGAGCCCGCAGGAGCAAGCATGGATGTCATCGTCAGCTCGTCTCACGATGCGAGCCTGGACGGCGTCACGCCGATACCGGCGTTCGCACCGCAGCCGCCCGAGCCGGCGGTCACGATCCGGCATGTCCCCGGCAACGGCATCGGGCACGCGTTCGCGCCGTACGAGCGTCCGCCGGACCTCGTCGCGCCCGCGAAGCACGAGGCAGACGACCGGCGGCAAGCCGGCGCCAACGGGGAGATCGAGAAACCGAGGAGCGAGCGGCCGGAGGAGGACGGACGACGTGCCGACGGCCGGTACCGAGACGAGCGGAGGAGCGACAGGGACGGTGATAGAAGCGAGCGCGAGTACAAGAGGAGAGACGACGACAGGCGCTACGACAGGGACGGCAAGCGAGACCACAGGGACGATCGGAGGCAGGATCGAGACTACAGGCGCAGAGACGGCGATGACGCCGACCGGCGCGACAGCAAATATGATCGCGACGGCGAAAGAGGCGACAGAAGCGGCCGGCGGGACGACCACGGCAACAGGAGAGGCCACAGGGACGACGAGAGAGGTGAGAGGCGCGGCGACCGGGACGACAGGCGGGCGGGCAGGGACGACGAGCGCAGTCACCGCGACGACAGACGCGGCGACCGCGACGACGGCCGGGACCGGCGGTCCGACCGCCCCCGCGACTACGACGAGAAGGACTCGCGGAGGAGAGATTACGACGAGCGCGGCAGCGGCAGCTCGCGCCGCGACAGGGACGAGCGCGAGCACGGCCGCAGACGCGAGCACCGCTCCGACTACGACGACGAGCGGCGCCGCGACGCCAGTTACCACTCGCGGCCGTCCAGCCGCGCGTCCAACTACGAGCGCGACTACGAGCGCAGGCCGGCGGCCGACGCATCGCTGCAGGACGACCCGGCGAAGGAGAGGTCAAGGTCGCGAGCCGACTACGACTACTACGGCAAGTCGCGCTCGAGGGACATGGACCGTGAGCGATATGAGAATTCGAAGTACTACGAGGATTGGTACAAGCAGCAGGAGGCGTATTATCAAAGTGAGTGCAAACCATGCTAGTCTAAACTGTGTTACGGCGTCGCTTTCAGCATTTGCGATAATTTCTTTCGTGTGACGGGGAGGGCTTCATTCAATGTTTTGTATTTAATTTTGAAAGCAGAGGTCAAAATAGTGCGAAACCTGTCTACAAAATGAAAACTAAACCTGTGCATGTCATAGTTTAAAAACCCTTTACATGATGCTGGCTGGTATGACACACATTTCCACTGGAACAACTAAGCTAACCATGTCACATTTTCTTAATCCAACAGATTATCCATATGCCGACCCGAGGGCTTATTATGATTACTACCGCCAATACGGCCATAGCCGCCAAGACTCCGGTTACCTCGCCGAGATGGCGTACTACGATAGCAATAAGTCCGCCAGCTACATCGACCCAAATATGTCCTCTGCAGACTACTACCAGCAGTATGACGACTTTGACAGGCGATCGCAGCATTCGTCCTACGTTGATGACAGGGATAGAAGGTAGGCAATGCTGTGCTATTGAGCACGGTGACCGTATGCATGAAAACTGCAGTGACAAAGATGATTACAGACTCATTGTTTGCTAGTGATGTCGTTGAAGGATTGTGAATTGATTTCTGAGCGATGATTCAAAGCTAATATGTTGTGGTTTGTACGCAGTCGTTCTGGCAGTCGCTTGGGATACGAAGAGTCTGACGGCTATTCCGAGAGATCTGATGGTAAGTCTCTCACCAAATACGTTTCTAAGCATCTATTTATTTATTTCAAATTGCGGCTACATTCTAAACAGACGGTCACATGAAAGGGAGCTGTTGTGGCAGCGTTTTGCACCTTCACTGCCCTAGCCTTGGTTTGAACTCACAAGCCTCCAAAGTAACAATTAGAAACGCCAACCACTAGAGCACGATAGCTCTTGGGTTTCCGTCTCGCCGCGTTGCTGCCGCGTTTTCTCGTCATCGCGCTCTTGTGTTGCAGACGCCGTCGCCCGGCAGCGGCTGACGCCGCACAAGTTCCGCATGCCGCACACGCTCGCGACGCTGACGCCGAGTGGGGCGCTGCTCAAGGTGCTGCCCAACAGTCCGGAGGACGGGCAGCCGGCGCGCGTCGAGCTTCACGACGTGCAGGGCTTCCTCGGCTCCTCCGCCGAGATGGAGGAGATGAGGGCCTTCCCTGGACCGCTCGTCAAGTACGTGTCCACTTCTCTCGAGTTGCGTTTCGCGATTCGGCGGTCCGCACGACGCCTCGTTCATTATGCCTTACGTGTCGACATGTGTTGTCGTTGATTCTTCTACACCATTATAGCACGTGTAACTTGATCCTTAGGGCTAGGGTAGCATGCATATAATCATGTGGATCCTGTAACTTTACATGCCGTCAGCATAGTCTCTACTTTTTATGGCAGCAATCTCTGTAATGTCGTGACCGATTGAACCCTGTTTTCGAAGGCTTTAGAATTTCTGTCGATTCTCTGAATCTGTTTTTGTGGGTATTGTTGTGGAGCTCTTAATTGATGGCTTGTTGACTTTCCACAGGAGTGAGACACACAAGAAAGACGTTATTATTTTCTGCCAGAACAAGATAAAGGAGTGTAAGGCGGACTATGAACTGGTTGACAAGAGCTCTGCTGTTCTCTTGTGGGAACTTAATGTGTTGCTCATTCGACAGAATGGGGTAAGATGCTCGCAAGATTACCTTCTCTTTACTTTCCCGTTACGAAACGTGATATCGTTTACATGCTAGTAATTTATGCTCATGTTACTTGTGAAAGTGGAGCAAGCATGATAATATGTGGAGAGTAGCGCACATTTACAGACCTATGTGTGAAAAACTTATTCTTTCATATTATATATGTATGTATTGTGCATTATATTTATATATGCTGTTTTGTTTCTAGACCGTAGTTGGAACCGACATAGCTGATCTACTACTAGCAGACTACCAGAGGGAGCATGATGATGAGCCTGTTGAGCAATTAGATGATGTAGCACCAGTGTCGCCATCTGGTAAAGAGGAAGATGAAGAATCAAAGGCAGCAGAGACTACCGAAGTTGTCACGGAGAACCGCACTGTGATAAACAGGAAGACGCTCCTAAGCGAGGAGCAAGTGACGAAGAAGTTTCGTGATCTTCTTCTCTACGGACACAAAAAGGTAGCGACGTAATTCTTTGATTGATCTATTGCATTGCGGTTTCTTTATTGGATTTTCATTGGATTTGTGTCGTCTTTTATTTTTTTAGCAATTACGTAATCGCTGTGAACCAGTTTTCTCAATGAACTTGGAAACATGAACTTGTGTGCTTTTAGGATGCGCTTGACTGGTCCATGAAGCACCATTCGTGGGGACATGCCCTGTTCCTGGCATCCAAGATGGACGCACGGACATACGCTAACGTCATGACCAGGTGTGAGGCAGGCCATTTTCCTTCTAGAGAAACATGCAGATTTTTCTTATATTTCACGGCAAACATAGATTCTGAACTGTTGTGTAAGTAATGTGCTGTAATGTTGTCCTGTTCACCTCGCAGGTTCGCAAACTCATTGGCGCTGAACGACCCTCTGCAGACTCTGTACCAACTGATGTCAGGAAGGCAGCCTGGATCCGTTACGGTGAGCCTACCCCTTACACCCTTTAGCCCATTCAATATTCTACTCAGACAAACATTCTAGGAAAAAGAATCAAATCTGTTGCGCATTGTCGAATCGTTCTGTATTTGGTACGATGGATAATTAATGCGTAATTAAATGTTAGATGCTTGTTATTATTTTAGAGTGTGGCAGATCATAATTGGGGAGACTGGCGACCCCATCTGGCGATGATTCTGTCAAACGGCAGCGGACGATCTGATCTTGATCAGCGCAGCATAACGTCTCTCGCGGATACACTTGGTGAGTGCTATCGCCTAGATCTCTTTCTCACCATCTTTGCTCTGACATTTGCAAGTTCACTCTATGATGTCTTTTGCGTCAGTGTGTTTCCATTAAGAGTTGCTGTGTTTAGAAGGATGAACTTGGTTCTTACTAAAGCTATGTCTTCCAGCCGCCAGTGGCTGCCTACACGCAGCGCATTTCTGCTATCTGATGGCAGATGTTGGTTTCGGCACTTACAAGAAGAAGATGTCAAAATTGGTGCTGATCGGCTCCAACCATAGGTAACCCATTTTCTTAATTCCATTCACCCCGGTGTCTGTCGTCATGCAATGGTAACTCCGATGTCTATCCTCGTATCATACACTGGTCACCATGGGGGTCTATCCTCATGTTGTTCCCCATGGCATATATCCTCATGCATCTGTCGCAATGGTATCTATGTTCATACATGGTCACCAATTTGTCTATCGACTCCTATCGACCCATGTTCAGTACCTGACGATACTGGAACAATTGCTCGTCTTTTAGTGATCTCTAATGTGTTGTTTCGGATTGGTTTAGATTGCCGCTTCAGCAGTTTGCAACAAACGAGGCTGTGCACTGCACGGAGGTATACGAGTATGCCATGTCGCTGAGTAACCCCCAGTTTGTGCTCCCCGGACTACAGGCGTACAAGTTCATGTATGCGTGCAGGCTCGCCGAATTTGGATTTCTCCAGGAGGTGAGGTCCCCCAGGTTTCGCGTAGACATCTTTAGAGCGAGAGATTATTCGTGATTGTGGTTGAAGAGTTACGTTAGTAGTTTCTGAATTTTGACCGGTACTTGCACTATCCTGATTGCGAAGGCTGTCTAAATTCTGTAACCGAACAAAGTGCCTGATTCGGGGTTGCACAGTTGACGAGTTGAGTTTGAGGTTACATTGTTGTTGACTTTTTGAGTGTACAAATTGTGTGTGTGCTTGTTGCAGGCTCTTCACTATTGTGAAGTACTAACACGTGCCTTCCAGCCAGCGCCAGCACTCTATAGCGAGAATCTTGTCGCCCAAGTATACGAGGTACGTTGTACAGTACTCCTGTTGTAAGCATTCGTCCCAGAAATGAAACGATGATTGGAATGTTGCATGACGATCATCACTCGTGTATAGACAAAATGTGAAATTGCGGTCTATATTTTTCAATGCAGCTGGGCAGTCGTTTGAAGTACCACGACCCACATTACACACATGGAGAGGGGGAGATCACCTACATGGCCGACCCAGACTGGTTGACCAACCTCAGCAGCATATGCACGGCTTTCAAGGTACGTGTTCGAACGAAGCGTATGCCGCCGCGCTATCCGTGACCATGTCTGTCGTCCCGGTCACCACTCGATTACCCTCGCCTTGTCCTTGTACGACTTGCCTTGCCTATCGCTTGACTTAGCTCACCTTACTCTTCCCTGCCAGACTGGAGCCCTGCCGCCGCTCTCTCCTGTCTCCACCGCCTACGCTCACCTTTCCCTCGTGCCGGTCTGCCTGCCGTGGGAGGAGACGTCGGACGGAGCGTCGCCGCCGGCCGCGTACGGCCGCGGCGCCCTCTGGCCGTCGCTGTACGGCTCGCCGTCGTCGCACTGCAGCGACGACTCGGAGCGCTCGTCGTCGTACGCCGAGCTCGCCGCGATCCACGCCGCGCACCGCCACAGCTGGCGCCCCCTGCCGTACACGTGGACGCCGACGGGCAGCCCGACGGCCCCGCGGACTCCGCCCTGCAGCCCAGCCATGCTGCGCACGCCGATGAGCAGCCCCAGCTCCCCGAAGAAGGGGATGGGCAGTCCCGGCTCCCCGAAGAAGGGGACGGGCAGCCCCGGCTCCCCGAAGAAGGGGACGGGCAGCCCCAGCTCGCCGAAGAAGGTGACGTTCGCCGACGAGACGCCTGGCACGCCACTCGCGACGTCCGACAGCGACGACTCGTTCACACGCTCGCCACCGCGGGGCGCCACCGTCGCCGCCGCGATGGATCGCGCGACCGTCACGCGCAAGGACCAGCTCATCCAGAGCGCGCTGACGCAGACGCACGACTTCAGCGGGCGGCTCGAGCACCAGATCCGGCTGATGAAGAAGGCGAAGATGGGGCGCGGGCGCGGGCGGCGCGGCGCGGCGGGGATCGACGCGGCGCTGCTGAAGATGCGACGTAGTCCGAGCACGTTCGTCATCAGCGTGGACAGCAAGAGCCTGTCCGCAGCACCCGATCCGCCGCAGGTTGCCGCCGCCGTGCAGAGATGCGGCGGCGGCGGCGGTGTCGCGCCGGACTCACCGGTCGCTTCTCTCGCTGCTGAGACTTCCGCAGCCATTCCTCGCCTCCTCACCGCTCCGAGTTCACAAACAACGCCTCCTTCCGTACCGCCAGCGAGTCCTGAGAACGTGAGTCCTTCTTCCTTTCCCAGTCTCCGCCGCCGTGATATTTCCTAAGAGGCATTTTCGATCACGTGTGCTTTTCGTCTCTGCCCACTTGTTTCGTTCGATTATACAATACCGTTCGATTGTTCTGTTATTGTCTTTGGCGACGTGGTGTTGGCATGTGGATGTGTTGCAGATCGGTACTATCCACCACATTGAGGAGACTGAAGCTAATGCTCCGTGGACGGGTGAGGCCGTCTCTCAGCCAACCTCCGAGTCGGTGTCAACGTCGACGTCGGTGCAGGATGACATGAACATGATGACCAGCGAACATTACGGTAGGCACTTATGCGAGTGTGTGACGAGAGTATTAACTAGGATTGAGAAAGTGGGAGTTGTAAATGACTAGAACATTTGTGTCCTAGCAAAGCAAGGGGGTTCAGTGGCATGCCCTTTATAATCTTTATAAAATTGGAGCAATTTGTTGCATTCTGAGGTATTTTGCATAGTAAAAAGAGCTTGCCCAAACTTTAAATTTTTATATTTTGACTATGACTCGTTTGCCGTCGGCAGTAGTCTATTGCGAAAAAAGTCTATCAAAAAATGGCGAGATGTCTCACTAGCTAATACTCTGCGTGTGACTATATATCTGTCTCTGTGTTTTGCATAAGCTCTACAATGCTAGAGCACTTGTGTGTGGCAATCGTGTCAGCATACACGAGTGATTTCTTATTGTGGATATGAGAAACAGAGGCCAACAATAGCTTTCATTTCTCTAGCGCAAGAGCAAGTTCATCAGTACCAGAGTCACAGCAGACACACGTCTGGGCAGCAGCAGGTGTATGAGCAGACTGGGGCACCTGGCCCTACAGGTAAGGTTTCATATACATGTAAAGTGGCAGGCATGCTATATGAATGTTAACAGCTAGTTGGCTAGCAGCAACACCCGTCGCAGATTGTAATGGTTTACACACCACCCTCTTGTAGATGGAGCTGGCTATGACTACAGTCAGTACAATCAGTACTATCAGCAGCAGCAGCAAGGGCAGTACTTCACTCCCCCGGGTAACTATGGTGAGGGATACGCAGGCTCTTCCGCTGAGCAGCAGGTGGCAGCGGCGTCGGAACATAGCGCCAGTGCCCCGTCTAGCCCTCGCACACCTGTAGCAGACACTACTGGAGGTGCAGGGTTTGACTACTATGGCATGGCCACACAACAGGTATGTGTTACACGTTGAATCTCACGCAAGTTTATCAACAACAGCAATAACGGCACAGTTACCAGTTTTGTTTATTATTGGAGAGTGGAAGTTTGTTGATGACACTGCATGATATCTGTTTGAAATGTGTTGTGTGTGTAAGCATTATTGCTACATGTAAACTGTGGTCGTAGAGGTATCAACTCAGGTTACATGTAAATATTGAACCTTGTAATATTCACAGTTTCTTTTAGATTTTAACCAAATCTCACTCAATTCTTAGTGTTTACTTTCCTAATCTGCTAACACTAGTAATTGGTTTCTTAACGTTTTCCACTAATCTCACTAGACCTGTGTAACCTCTTCTGGCTGCAGAGTCTAGGCGAGCACCAGAATGAGAATTTGACTAGCGAATACCAGGACGATTTAGTTTCTGGATTCCAAACTCCACCTGACAGCCCAGGCTCTGCGAAGGTAGCCTTTCCTTCATGCGTAACACTACTCATGCTAGATCTTGTCATTAAAAAGTGCCGTTGTCTTATAGCGCTCGTGAAGGCATGTGGTAGGTCAGAGGTAGAGTGGTGAGAGTGGGCGGTAAGCGATTAGCTGGTGAACACTATTCCAGAATCGTTATGCAGCAGACCAAATCTGTAGTTGCACGTTTGTTATCTTCTGTTCCCTACAAACTGTTTCCTCCAAACCTTTGCACGTTTCTCTTTGCACTCTTCCACTGAACTAAAGGCAATGCTTGATTGCTGCCTAGACCAACTCGTTGCTGCATTGCATAGCGTTTCTGGAATGCGTTAGCTTGTGTGGTTATTGCAGTATCGGTACAGAGAAAGTCCTAGGGATGAGGGAGGGCATAGCGCGTACGCAGGAATCTATTACACGCCTCCAGAGAGCCCTCGTTCCACCACGGTATGGTCGCGAGTACATGTGTGCGTGCGCATGTGTGCATTCACGTGTGTGTGCATGGGTGTGTGCGTGTTCACGTGTGCACTTGCATGCCTCAATGCGTGCATGTATACACGTGTGTCTGTGTGCGTGCGAACACGTGTGTGCGTGCGTGCACATGTTGTTAGGCACTGACTAACGCGTTTATAGCTTGCATCACAATTCATCTCTGTATGTACATATGTTATTTAATTGAAGATTTGAAGCATATAGACATGCATCAATCTCACTGGCATTTCCTGTGGCTCTATCTGCTGTGTCTAGCATGGTGATAACTTCTTAACTAATTCTGATGATGGTTTAATGCTGATGTCACCCATAAATAATTTCCTGCTTGCAGTAACGTACCCAACTTAGTAAGGTGCAGGGGCAGCATTTCGAATGTGTGCTGCTAGGCAGACAAACTTCTCTCGTCACCTCCTGCTCCCGTAGTGTGCACATTTAACTGACCAGTGAAAACTGTGCACTGTTTTATTGAAATCGTTCACCCCAGTTGCCGTAGTTGTGATGGGCCACTTATGCCACGGCAAACAGGAAATTGCTTAGGGGTGACCCGATAGACAGAATGGATGCTTTCTTGTTTATGCTAACGCACTTTTTCATCCTCACATAGACGCTGACAGCATCCAGTCCAGAGCCAGGAAAGAAGGTAGAGAGTCCTACTGAGCACAAAAAGAAAGAGCACAAAAAGCATGATAAGGTAAGATTGCTAGCTGATTGACTTAGAATGTAGGTGTGCCGACAGAAGCAGCATAGCATGCCTATTAATTCGCCTACTAGATCACACGTGTGAGGTCACACACTTCAGTGACTTCAGTCACTCCAGTGACTTAACACAAAGTTTTTTAGAGCATATTGCAGCTTGAGGTCCACTCTGTGGTTCTTTTTGGAGATCACCAGCATTGGGTACTGATGGCCTTTTTGATGATATGTGAAAGCCGACTTAATTCAAAAATCTCTGTGATATCGTCATGGCAGATACTTAGTTTACTTAGCACAATTTTACAAGAGAATGGAAGTATCCTGCGTTACTGTTTGTTGTGGACCGAATTTATATTTTTATGGTTTAAAAAGGAATGCTTGTGTTACATTCTGGCTGCAGCTTGCTGGTTCAACTTCGCCCAAAGATGTTCTGGTATATGATATTCGCTTTCTGTCAGTGTTTTTTTGTTCATATCTATCTCAGGCATCTTTTTTTTTCAAAATGGTCACATCTGCACATCACCCATAATACCTGTCAACACACAGTTGATAAATGATTTTATTTTTTACTTAAAAGGAGTGAGACTTTTGGTCATTGCACTGCATGAGACACCAGAACGACTGAAATTTTGGGTTTTTATCACTTACAAATGCACTGTGAACACCATTTAGTGCATTGACACTGATTTGCATCAAATATCGAGACTCGGGCATGACTCTGAAGTGATGTGCTGGCTTTGATGAAAGTGGAAAATTTTAACTGTAAACGTAAAAGTAAATGTCTAAGTTATCTAATGCCGACCGTGTTCTGATTACAGAGAGGTTGGTTTGGTGGGATTTTCAACTTTGGCGGCTTCAAAGGAAAGAATGAGATGAAACTACCAGAGGACAAGAATCCAAGTGTATGTAGATATATGCGTGTGTGCGCGCGTGCATTAGCGTTCTGTATTTCTAGAGGTGAAGCATATATATAAGATCATCCCTGAAAATGTGCACTTAGTAATACTAGTTCACTGTAACGTATCTAGTAATTCATTACTAGTTTGAGGTACCCATCAAATGACTCCTGATGGATGACTCACGATGAACGTTAGTTGTCTGTTTCTGCTTTGTCGCTTTGCTTTTCATTGAACTCTTGCTTGACAGGCTCGTGCATTCCTACATTGTAGATTGTGTGGGATGCTACGAAAAACCGCTGGGTAAACCAAGATGGCGACGACGAAGAGGAAAAGCCGTTCGCGCCACCGCCAAAGGATTCAGACATGATGGGTGAGTAAAGGCTACCTGCTGGTGTCTGTTATCCAGTCTAAATGTTCCTGTACCTAGACTAGGTTCCCGTAAAGAACCTGCCACATGCCTTGGCGTCCTAAAAAATATAAGGACCTTTGCCCACAACTCATGTTTGTTCCGATTTTGTGCAGGTGGCAGCATGGGTCCATATGACCCACTCCCAGCCGTGCCAGTTCCGGCAGCTTATGACCCCGTGCTGACCCCTGCTGTGCCAGCTGCTTCATACACGCAGCAACAAGGGTTAGATGCCAATCAGCAGGCGCCACAGCCCACACCAGCGCCACCTGCAGGCGGTGTAAACAGGTTCAAGATGCGTGGCGGAAAAGGTAAGCTGAGTCATAACTGCTCCTGAATTGCCACCGCACGTGTTTTGGTTGGGCGATTTTCATAATCGTCACTCCGTACATTTAAAATTAGTGCAAGTATCAAACTTTTGGGTAAGGTAATTGAATTGGTGTTTTTTGTCCTGTGTCTTGTGAATTCAATATATGCTAGCCTTATGTCGTTTAATGTGTTTGTTAATTTTTATGGCAACAGGAGACAAATCGCCTTACATGTATTTAGGTAATCATAGATAAATGAATTCTTTATCTAACGCTGACACTCGGGTTGCTGTGTATTGTATCACTCTGTCTCATCACGTACCCCATACATTTTCTGCTGATCCCATAAAATCGATTGACCCATCAATTGAAACATGCACTAGATATATTTTCCATGCACTATAAGCAGCTACTGTGAATGTTGTGGTTGTGCAGTGCGACTGGTGCAGAATTAATTTATTGCATGACTGATTTGTGTGTTGATTTGTTCTGCAATTGATTCGCAACCCCCAGCGTTGTAACAATGGTGATATTCTTTACAGGACCCAGAAGCAAGTATGTTGATGTGTTGAATCCTACAGGCGCACCATCTTCTGGACAGCAATCTATAGCACCACCCAACTTGTTTCCTACTAATACGTCCTCACCAATGAACTTCTTTGTTCCGACACCAGGTATGTGAGCTTATTGGCTTCAGGCCCTAGTTATTAGCTTACTACCTTACCTTAAATTAAACCCAAAGCAACACGTACCTTGCACTAAAAATATCTAATTTGACCATTGGCCACTTACAAGACGTTTGCATCCTCATGCACATGCTGCTCGTTCTAGCTGTGACAATTCACCTTGCTTCTTGCTATCAGTTTCAGCTGAGAGCACTGGCGACAGTGGTGCAGTAGACTATGTGGGTTTGGCGCAGGCAAGCACGACCGATGCAGCGAGCCATCCCCATGCGGACTCTCAACCGCAAGTGGCGAACCCTGCCCAGGATGGGAACGTGCAGTCCTACTACCAGGATGGTCACGCGCAGGGAACGAACGCGTACGCACCACAGGGCGTCCCCGGTTACGCGCCGTCGCCAGCCACGGACGTTCCACCCTCACCCGGGGCCACGCCCCAGCAGCACAATCACGAAGTGGCGCCACCTGGTGGTCAGAATTACGCTCCAGCTCACGACGTGTACGCCCAGCCGGTGCTTCAGCAGCCGCCGGCGATCGGAAACCCGGGGTCGCGGCCTGGGTCGTCGACCGGGCCTGATTCGCCGCTCGTGCACCAGGTTGGTTACGATTTTTTGTCGAGCGTTGTGGCGTGTTGTTTAAATGAGCAGTTGTGCATGCGGTTGAGCTGCGAGTTTGCTGTTCGGTGCGTTTGTCTATTGCAGTTGTCGTGATTGAAACACCGACCTTGTCAACACCCGCCGCACTGTCGCTTCTCCATCTGAGTGTCGTCTCTCTGTCTCGGCTACACCCGTCTCTTCCACGCACTTACCCTCGGTTATTGCCTGCCACTCTGTGACGTCACTACCCGTTTCTGCTGAATCGTTGCTCATGTTTGTTGCATCGTTTCCGTCTTTCTGTACATTCGTACCTGACTCCGTCCTCTCAAGACATTTGCCACGCATTCCCTGCGCCTGGTATTGCCATCAACTCTTTAGATCCATCTGATTGCATCGATCTTCGCTAACAGCATGCCGTAATGTATGGTTCCTCGTGGACATGCTTGACTGTTCGACCTTTCCCATGTTCACCGCCCCACTCCACCCCACCCCCATCGACGGAAACGCGCGTCGAGCGAAATCTGCAGCTGCGGCATGCGAATCGATCGTTTAAGAGCACGCGAGGGGTAAGGGGGTGGCAAGGGCTAACCCACGCCGACTGTGCATACGTGCGATTTGTAAGAGACGTTCTTGTGTCTTGCCCATGTTGTAGTGGTACACGCAGCGTACGCGCACGTCTTCTATCTCAATGCCAGACGAAGAGCCGGGCGAGCGCGATGATGCCGAGGTATACACACCTACTAACTGTCGTGTGCTGTTTGTCGCGTGCTGTGGGCCGGCAACACTTTGCACGTGTGCGCGCTGGTCTCCGTTGACGTACTGCTTCGCGGCGTGGTGGCAGCGGGGTGTAGAGCTTGTAAACTGCATGAGGTCGTTTCACGGCGCAGCCGTTCCGAGTGCACCCGGTCGGGTCTCACCGCACATGTGCGTGTCCGATCTCGCTCCTTTCGTCCTGGGAAGCCTCTCTTATTGACGGCTGCGTGTGTGGGCACAGGCACTTGGGACAGAGTCAGTAAAAACTGAAAATAATATGAACGCACATTCACAAATAGGCCCTACTATCGTACCTCTCAATTACAGTTCCACTGTTGTGTCACTGTATATCAACTTTCCTTCATAAAAACTCTGTCCCAAGTGCCTGTGTGTGTGGGTGCGTGCTTGTGTGCGTCGTGTGTACATGTGTGTCGGTTGCACGTGGTCACTGCACAGTGTGGCTGTGTGAGCACAAATGTGGACAAATGTGGTGTGTGGCTCTAGCGTTGAGGACAGCCAGTCAATTCCCACCTACCCACATACGTCTATGCAAGCTGTGGTTGAACGCACGCACACACCCATACCCGCACCCCAACATGCACTCACACACTTATATGCACACACTCACGCACACTCACCCACATGCAAGCATGCACGCACACATACGCAATACACGGGCTTGGTGTGCAGTTCCGGTTGTACTTCTGTGTGATGTGGTCCGTGTGAATGCATGTTACTAATCTGCCTGCGGTGTCTTGTCCTGCAGCTATCTCGGGCTAGTTCCCAAAGCTCTCTGTCCAGTGAGGTGCAGAGGTACATGGTCCCTGATAAGGTAACGTTGTAGTGCCGTACAACAACAACAACATCGTGCACTATTGCTGCTGCCGTCCGTAGTCTTTCTCTAGGACTTCTCTGCTCTCTCTGTGTACTCCTCGTAGTGCTGCAGTACTTTCGACGAATAACGCACGGACGCTGGTACCTCTTATGGTGGTTGGATGGATGGTTACCGGCGTAACACACATTTGCAAGCGTTTGACTTGGTCGCTGTCGTTGAGTGTACTATGCGCCTTCCCGACTAACTGTGAGATGTTGTCAGTGCTTGCACTTGCAGGGCTTTGATGTAGTTTACTCTGCACTTTAGTTTACACTAAACAGTAGAGCGGATGCATAGCGTTAGAAGCATAGTGGCGTGAATATGCATTTTCTTTTGGCATGTCTAAATAGTGCTAACGACTTGCTATGCACTCAAGTTGTAAGATGCAATTTCTTGCCCACTACGTTTGTCAACACGTCTTCCTCTCTGTTTAACCATGAAATTGCACTTTTTATTGACTGTCTTTCTTCATTGCAATATGAAATATACGTTACTATACTTAGCATAACTATTCCTCGCTCTCATTTACACTCTTTCTTTCACACACGCATTCTATCTCTCTCTCTCCCTCTCACTTACTCACTCACTCACTCACTCACTCACTCACTCACTCACTCACTCACTCACCACCGTCACTCAGCTCACGTCACTCACCTCACCATCACGTCACATCCTCACTCACTCACAAACTCAATCAGTTACTCTCTTTAGACATAATCAAAGATTACGGCACATTTTGTTGTGATAAAATTCACATAGATCTATAGTATTGTGAAACATCTCTTGTTGTACTATATTTGTTCTAGATTTGTTAGTATTAGTCTTCATAAGCTGCAATAACTAATTGCAATGCAACATCTATGTCGCAAATTGGCAATATTTATTTCTAGATGTGTTCTTTCTCTTATCCTGTTCGTATCGTATTCGTAATTGTTGAACTGTTCAGTAGTTTCTCTCCCAGCATGTTAGTTATTTGCGAGTCTGCAGCAGTAGCAGTATAATGATTCTTCCACAGAGCATATAATTATGACGACTTTTCAGCGATTTTAGGGTAGATGGCTGAAAATGTAGCTGAATTTGTTTTAAGGTGGAAAATTGAGCAATCTGAGCATTTTTGAGTGGAAACCACTTAGAAGTGGAATAGCCTCGATTGACGGTGTACGCCCTTCTCAGAGCCTTGCTGACGTATCTGTTATGATTTTCTTTTCAGAAGTCAGAACCAGCAGCGCCGCCCGGGCCGACCCTATTCGACCCGGCTCAGTTCACGGCACCTATCACAAACTATGCTCAGCAGCCGACGGGCAGGATGAAGTATGGTCAAAGACGTGCCTACCCTCGTTGACCACTGCTTCTAATTATCTAGGGAATATTAATGGGGGGAGGGGGTAACCGCCGAGTTTTTAGCTCGTTCAAATGTTGTTGAATATGCGGTAGAGAGTCGTGCACCCGAAACCTGAAAATTAATGTGTAAGATTTTTAAGAAGTTTCACTGAAATCGTGATTCTTGTCTGAAACGCAGATGCCTTCTTATTGCGACTTTATGCCGAATAATTGAAGCCGTAATGGGCGCGTCTGTATGGTGTTTGTGTGTGAAAGTTATTACTTGATTTTCACTGGTTTTTAATTCTAACGCCTGTAGTTAACCATTTACACGAGACTGGGTTATGTTGTATGCAATATGCTGTATGTCAACTTGCTTAACTGTTGCACCGCTCCCGACATTGACGTCTGAAATTTAGTGGGACGTAGCACTAACCCATATAGACATCGCTGCATCTCTCTAACGTTATTGTGAAGAATGGATGGAATTCAGTATTTATCATTGAACTAGAAACTGGAAGTCATATTTATTACCTTAGGGCAAAACATTATTTTGGCTCCCTTTGGCCTTAAGCCAAGGAGCGCCTGTGTAATTGCCGTTGGCACGGATATGTGTGCGCTGCCTGTACGCGGGTGAGCGTGTATTTAGCGGGCGCGTGTTTGCTGATGGGGTGCTTCGTGCGACTTGTACGATGGAATAGCTACGTTTTATCATGTACGGTGTGATGGATAAAGTGAAATGTATATTTTGGTGACAGAGTCGTTAGTAAATTGCGTGTAACCTAGAATAGAATATTGATCTGCTGAAGGCATTATCTGTTTAAATAACGCATGCCACATGTCATTCAGCTGCAGATACGCCGTGTTATGTATTAACCCATGGTCAGGCTTCCCTGACGAGGAAGTCTGTGAAAGGATCCAAATGGCTGACATCATGAATACCTGTGTATAATGAAATTGGGGGGTCGATTGAATTCACCTGCGTTACACGGCGCAGCACGAGTATAGGTAATGCGTGACGCTATTATGTAAGGGAAGCTATGATATTGATCACAGTTCACATGATTTGGCACCAGTCACGGTTAGCTGCGCATCTGTGCGTGCGTGTACGTGGAACTATGATTCGTGTTGTCAGATTATGAAAAATAAATATTTGTTGATTATTATTATTATTAGGTAAGCCTTGCTCTTCGTGTTTTAATAAGGGTGTTTGTTCTATTGTCGAGATACGACTAGTATATACACAGTGTGTACCTGTTTAAAAAACTGTCAATTATTTCATTACACGATGCATACATCAATGTAACCCTCTACCAATAATGCTGGCAGGTTGCATATTAGTACGCTGCTTTATTAGCTATCTCTTGGTCGTATAGCGGAATAATCACAGCCTCGACATCCTCTTTCCTTATTCAGCTTTAAAAGTTTCTGCTCCGTTGAAAACTGTAATATTTAAGAAGAAGAAAGCTGGTGATACTAGGCGTTTCTTTACACAATGACTATACAGTATATGTTTAGTGCGCGCACATTTGCATATGTCTGTAAATTCGCTGTAGCACTTTCTAGAAACGGAAGGGTCTGTCGATACAAAAAAATAACGAGAAAACTGCATCGTATTCGATTATGCACATTATGTCCAACCTTGCGAAAAGACGATATCGTAGCAAATTACTAGCAATGCGTGCGTGCGTGCGTGCGTGCGTGCGTGAGTGCGTGCGTGTGTGCATGCGCGCCCTACATGACCAGCTGAATAGTGAACAAATCATATTGTGAACCTACTGGTTCAATTAATGAGTAGCTATGTATATAGGGATTTGCCGAATATGGGGTTTGATTCATCATGGGTATTCTATATTATATTAAACGTCTATGCTTTACTTTCGCTATATCCATTGGGAGCTGTATAATTATCAAACGCGCATCCGGCACAGATATATAATAGCGACATGCGTACATTAATACATGGGTCCACCTCATGTATGTGCCTTTATCATCACTACTTGAGCGCACTAGATTGGTGCGCGCATTAGCAAACCAATATCACATCCGGTCCCTATGCCGGAGTGTCAGAGAGAGAGAGCAAGCAGCATGCACACTCGTATAACCTATATACAGATGTCTATTGCCTATGTACAGAAACAGCGCCTCGCGACATGTCATTTACGTGTTGCGCGGTCAGGTAGATGGACCTATACTTCGCGCCGTCGCCCACGATTATACTGTAGCTGCGAAAACCAATTAAGCGATCTTCTACCAGCATACCAGTTATATATAGCTGATACCAGATTTTCGTCAGACTGTAACTAACTAATCGCCTGCGATGTGAGCCTATCGCGACTGACGTTCCGAGTCGATGTTACGCGCGGCACCGCCACTACGCGACTACGCGATCCACACCGCCATATTCGCGCAGACGCGTGCCACCATGGCGACGCGCGACCCGTGGCCTTCCGCTACGAATGACAGCGACATCCTTAGCGACGTCGGCTCAAGCAGTGTCTACATCACTACGACGTCGAACGCCTCCGACATCGACCAGGCGTCTCTTCCACACACCTCGTCTGCCGCGATGAGTTACCTCATGTGTGCCTTCGGGATACTCTACAGCGTCGTCGGTGGCGTCGGCAACGGCGCCACCGTCGTCGCGCTCGTGCGCGACAGGGCGGCGCGACGCAACGCGATGACGAAGCTCGTCATCTTTCTCGCGATCAGCGACCTGCAGTTCTGCGTCTTCGCACTGCCGATGAACACGACGCGGTACGTGCACCGCTCGTGGCTGCTCGGCGACGTCGCCTGCTCGCTCGTGCCGTTCGTCTTCTACACGAACATCGCCACGTCGTTCCTGCTCGTGACGTTGATCAGCGTCAACAGATACGTCGTCATCGTGCACCAGACGATCTACCGGCGAATCTACACGAAGTGTAAGCTGGCTTCGATGATCGCCTTCGCGTACGCTCTGCCGGCGATACTCCTGCTGCCGACGCTCGTCGGCGAGTGGGGAAAGTTCGGCTACAAGCGCGAGACGTTCTCGTGCACGTTTCTCGAGGTCGACGGCCGCTCGTCGCAGCTGACGCTGTTCGTCGTCGGCCTGTGCGTGCCGACGCTCATCACGGTCGTCTGCTACGTGCGCATTCTGTGGACGGTGCGCAGCCGAAACAAGTCGATGCACGAGCAGATGCAGGGCAGAAGCACGCGTCGGCTGCACGTGCGCATCCTGCGCAAGGACGAGCGCCACCTGACAAAGACCGTCGTCGTCGTCATCGCGGCGTTTCTCGTCTGCAACGCGCCCGTGGTCGTCGTCAGCCAGACGGTGCCCGACGGTCGACTACCGCTGCTGCACTCGCTCGTCGCCATTCTGACGTGGACGAACTTCGTCGCGAATCCGTTCATCTACGCGATCAAGAACAGAACCTACCGCAACGCCTACGTGGCGCTGCTGTGCTGCAGCAGAGCGCGAGATATTCTGCGCGTCGGCAGCGATCGTTTGTACAGCGACGTCACTCGGCAGCCGAGCATGAAGAAATGCCAGGTGGCGACGCCAAAGATGGCGAGACACGAGGCTACGCCGACGTCGCGAAAGCCGTCGCAAACACTGACGCTCACATCATCGCTACGGCAGTGTGAGATAGGTGAGAACAAGGGCAAGACGACGACAGCCACGACGACGATGACAACCTCATCGACAGCGACGATGACGACAGTGGCGATAACGACGACGACGACGATAACGAATGAAGACGACGTCGGCGACATTGGCGACGTTGAGTGCGTCGGTATCGATGGCGACGACGAAAACAGCGACGACGGCTGTGGCGAAAACGACGACGACTGCTGCGACAACTGCGGCGACGACGACGGAGAATAGAGATAGTTGGTGATAGTAGTCAAGACAACGGTAGACGCACTGTTTCGACGGGAGGAAAGGCCTAGCACGGAATATGAGGCCAATATATCCACCAAACAAAACCTGACCATACTTAAACGATTGCTTGAGAACTTAATTCAAACAACCTGATTACATTACCATGTGTGAACCCAACAATGATCCGCGGTCTCTTTGTTCCTGAATAAAGCCCTCTCTGATACGGACTGTAATATCCTCACATAAGTACGCAGTGATTAATCCATATAGACGACGACGTTATAAGGATTGTATTAAACCCGTGTAAAGCCCTAATAAATTATATAAAGAGAACATTAAATGTGCTCTTGCCAGTATTTATTAAAAGTATAGTCTATTCAAAATTCAACACAAATGATTGAGTTTGGCATACATATTACCAGGAGTAGATAATAGGGAATTTGATTCCTTATAAGGAAATTGAACTCCTGATATTACTGACTTTCATATGTGATTATACGTGCGTGCGTGCGTCTGTGTGTATACACGTGTGCGCATATTATGAGCGTGCGTGCCTATACGTGTATTTTGATACTCCCTGGTCAGAAGTAAGCGCGTGCGTGCGTGCGTGCGTGGAAGGGTTTGTGCGTTTGCTCGTGCGTGCGTATCGGCGTGTAAGACCACGTACGTGCGTGCGTATGCGTGCGTGAGTGCGTGCGTACGTACATGCGATCAGACGCTCAGTTATTCACGTGCATGCCTCGAAACCTGTAGCACGTATTTCTATCGTTCTCCTTCCGCAACAATATATATCAATCATTCCCTCCGAAACAAACGAAAGCAATCCCTGCACTCACGACCCGCGAATCTCTTGCCGATGCGACACAGAAACTGTCTACGAAACACTTTTATTTCTCAAACGAATTGTTCATCGAAACTGCGCCCCTTTCAAGAACCTGCTCGTGTACTCTCTCTGTAAGGCTTGTACGCGGCAACAGAATAGTGAGTCAGCAGGTGACACAAGTTCATAATCAGTGTGTGAACAGGAAGGAAGCAGGAAGGACCTGCGTGTCACCGTCCATTCCTATGCTTGACATCCCGTATACAGTGGTTCCCGCTTTATCGGGCTTTTCCACGATTATGTCTTTGAAACGGAGTTCTACCGCGCGTTGGTACGTGCTTACCGCTTGATCTGCATAGATGACAGCTTAATCGGGACGTTTTCATGGTTCCCGACTGGTCCGGACAAAGCGGGGACCACTGTATTTATATCTGTAGCCGTATACTCACGCATACACGATTTTCGATAATTGCTTCATCACTGGGGCGGAATGATGAGTTGTCGATAGCCAAAATACTGTCGAAGACACTCATTTACTACTGCAGTCGCCATTAGGTTTGAGACCTAGCGCTAGTTGAAGATGGCGTGCTAGAGAAGTCATATCGTGCGGTGATAAGGAGACATTCAGCCAGCGAGCTATCTATTTGCCGGTGGAGATGTCTCTCCGGATAAGCCTTATTATCCAGAGCTATAATAATACCTCTAAATACTACCTACGGTATTATTAGCTTTTGTTATTATGGTCAGCCATTTTTATAAGCATTGCGGAGAATGCCTTCTACCAGCAGAGCGGCATGGATCGATTCAATATATGTGGGCTGGGAATGGCGGAATGATGAGCCGAAATAAAAATTCTGATATCGGATTCTGCCATGCACATCTTTTTCCGCTATGCCCTTGTTTTTTTTAAACACGTAAGATTGGGTGAAAAGCATTGTCTTGGGTGGCTACGGCGACGAGTGACCCGCGCGCCATTGCACATGTCCTAAGCAGGGGCGCCGAAAGTCCCTGGCTATATCAATGTACAGAGATATAGGCGCGGACACATCGGCGAGCGACCCACGCGCTATTGCACGTGTACTTTAGCATAGCAACAGGGAGTATTGGGATGTTGTGGCCTAAGTGAAATTTTCAGATTAGATTTTTCCATGCACACCTCCTTCGGGAATGTCTCCTTTCTTTTTAGCAAGTAAGATCAGCTAAAAAAACATCCTGTTATCACATATGCATCATAATGTGGAAGTAAGCCGGAGAATTTTCAGAGTGGAGCAGCGTCGACAGCGGGGTACCGTCAGTCATTGGTCCAATTCTGTTTTTAATTTATGTTAACGATATACCAGACCTTGTAAATTGTAAGTTGAAAATGTTTGCAGACGATACAAAAATTCGGAATATAGTAAGAATCATCACAGACAGTATTCTTCTACAGAAAGACCTCGATAAATTAAGTGAGTGGTCAGAGACATGGCTCCTGAAAAATTTCACGTTGAAAAATGCAAAAGAATGCATATATAGGCAGTAAAACTAACAAATATATCTACACAATGAAAGACGGGGACCAAAGAAGAATTTTGAAGGAGGAAGAGGAGAAAAATGACATTAGGGTTTGGACATCTAACGACATATGAAACCTACGATGCAGTGCATAAAGGTAGCCTGTACAGCTACCAACGTATTACGGTCAATCAGGAAGTCCTTCAAGTTTCTAGACAAGAACGCTTTCTTGATTCTATACAAAACACTTATACGACCACACCTAGAGTACCGGTACTGCATCCAGGCCTGGTCTCCCTACTTTAGTAAAGACATTTAGCGAATGGAAAAAGTCCAACGAAGGGCCACCAAACTAGTATATGGAGTAAACGTTAAGTACGAGAACTGGCTGAAGTTTTTAGGATTACAATTTTTACATACCAGCAGACTAAGAGGCGACCTGATAGAATCATACAAAATCATGACAGGAAAATATAAACTGAATCCAAACCCTTTCTTTTGTCCAGCCTCAAAGACATCACTAAGAGGAAATAACATGAAACTATATAAACAACGGTCCAGACTCCAGGTGCGACAAAACTTTTTCAGCCAGAGAGTGGTGCAACCCTGGAATAAACTGCCACAAAGTGCAGTCGCAGCTACCACGACTCACGAATTTAAAAGACCAAGGCCCCGTTGTCAGAAACAAAATTAGTCTTAACATTAGTCTTTACACTAACATTTTCTCGTAGACCGTCGACAGCACTTTGTTTCGTATTGTTACGAGGAAATCTGCTACGATTTTTCATTCAGGTAACTTCGCAGCGTTTCTGACGACGGTCTAAGAGAAAAAGGTAATGTTAAGACTAATGTTAAGCCTAATTTTGTTTCTGACAACGGGCCCCTGGCTCTTTGCGCGCAAATTGATTGTTTATAGATGGCGAAATATTGCACACCTTGATATCAATGACCATGGATATCATGTATACACACAATGCACATACACTTACACACAGCATGATCACGTACTCGTCCACTCACGTATACAAGGAAGGCAGAGGGAAGGAAAGGAGCGGGTGAAGTAGGAGTCTTTCGCTCTACAGGTCAGGGTGCTTTCCTATTCATAAACCCAGGTCTACTAATAATAATTTATTACATAAATCTATGCTGGGATACCCAGTAACCATATTAAATGCATATTTATGACAAACTCTGCTGGTGAGATATTGCGCATGCGCTAACACGTACACTCCCGTAGCCAGATTGTGTGACTGGTATACACAGCTGGTACCTTACATGCAAGATCTTCTTCCTATATCTTAAGATAGGTCTATTAATTGAATTATATCATATAAATCAATGCTAGAATACATCCTCACTATTTTAAATGCAAATTTTTCGCAAAATATTCTTTTTGGGAGATATTGCGCATGCGCCAGCACCTTAGCAGGCGTATAGTTCGGAGTGAATAAAACTAAAACTGGATAATATAGCTGATTAAAAAAGAGAGAGATGGGAAACGGAAGAAAGACGGCAGGGAAGATAGCTGAGGGCGGTAGAAGACAGAGGAGGCTGAGAGATGGACAAGGGAGGCAGGGGGAAGGACAGGCGAGGGTAAAGTAGGAGTTTTGCGCTCTACAGACTAGGGCGCTGTCCTATTCATAAACACAAGTCTACTGACAATAATTTATTACATAAATCTATGCTGGGATACCCGTAAATGCATATTCATAACAAAATATGACTCTTCTGGTGAGATATTGCACATGCGCTAATACACTCCCGTAGCCAGATTGTGTACTGACTGGTATATTCAGCAGGTATCTTACATGCAAGGTCTTCTTCCTATTTCTTAAGATAGGTCTACTGATTGAATATTATCATATAAATCTATGCTAGAATACAATATTTTTCGTCCGTTATTATACGTTCAAACTGGAGCCGGGCAGCGAAATTTTTTTCCCTATTTGAGTTCCGGACCACAGCCAATCAGCGCACTCCATTCACTCGACTTTCTCGAAGCAACAATGTAAAATGAATACCCAAATACCTAACCCTAACCCTAATCCTAACCCTAACCGGCTCTAGTTTGAACGTATAAGAACGGCCGAAGAGTATTATCTTGGAAGTCAACGGCGACCGACGTCGCAGCGCCATTTTACCATACATTAGCCATAGCTGGGAATCGTGGCGGGATGCTGCGAGCGAAGTGATGCATTTAGATCAGATTTAACCATGCACATGTGCTGTCAGCCTGCCCGGCTCCAGTTTGATAGTATAATAACGGACGAAAAATATTGTATTCTAGCATAGATTTATATGATAACATTCCATCAGTAGACCTCTCTTAAGAAATAGGAAGATGGTCGTGCATGTAAGGTACCCGCTGAATTTACCAGTCAGTACACAATCTAGCTACGGGAGTGTGTTAGCGCATGCGCAATATCTTACCAGAGGAGTTATATTTTGTCATTAATATGCATTTAATATGGTTACGGGGTATCCCAGCATAGATTTATGTAATAAATTTCTATCAGTAGACCTGTGTTTATGAATAGGAGAGCGCCTTGGCCTGTAGAGCGCAAAACTCCTACTTCACCCGCTCCCGTCCTTCCCGCTGTCTCCCTTGTTCTTCTCTCAGCCTCCCCCGTCTTCTACCGCCCTCAGCTATCTTCCCTGCCGTCTTTCCTCCGTTTCCCATCCCTCTCATTTTTAATCAGCTATATTATCCAGTTTTAGTTTTATTCACTCCGAACTATACGCCTGCTAAGGTGCTGGCGCATGCGCAATATCTCCCAAAAAGAATATTTTGCGAAAAATTTGCATTTAAAATAGTGAGGATGTATTCTAGCATTGATTTATATGATAATAATTCATTAATAGACCTATCTTAAGATATAGAAAGAAGATCTGGCATGTAAGGTACCAGCTGTGTATACCAGTCACACAATCTGGCTACGGGATTGTACGTGTTAGCGCATGCGCAATATCTCACTAGAGAAGTTATATTTTATCATGAATATGCATTTAATATGGTTACTGGGTATCCCAGCATAGTTTTATGTAATAAATTATTATCAGTAGACCTGGGTTTATGAATAGGAAAGCACCCTGACCTGTAGAGCGAAAGACCCCTACTTCACCCGCTCCCGTCCTTCCCGCTGTCTCCCTTGTCTCTCAGCCTCCTCCGTCTTCTACCGCCCTCGGCTATCTTCCCTGCCGTCTTTCCTCCGTTTCCCATCCCTCTCATTTTCAACCAGCTATATTATGCCGTTTTATTCAGTCCAAACTATACGCCTGATAAGGTGCTCGCGCATGCGCAATATCTCCCGAGAAAAAAAATATTTCGCAAAAAATATGCATTTAAAATAGAGAGGAGGTATTCTAGCATAGATTTATATGATAAAATTCTATCAGTAGACCTCTCTTAAAAATAGGAAGATCCTGCATGTAAGGTACCCGCTGAATATACCAGTCAGTACACAATCTGGCTACGGGAGTGTGTTAGCGCATGCGCAATATCTCACCAGATGAGTTATATTTTGTCATGAATATGCATTTAATATGGTTATGGGGTATCCCAGCATAGATTTATGTAATAAATTGTTATCAGTAGACCTGTGTTTATGAATAGGACAGCGCCATAGCCTGTAGAGCGCAAAACACCTACTTCACCCGTTCCTGTCCTTCACCCTGCCTCCCTTGTCCATCTTTCAGCCTCCTGTGTCTTCTACCGCCTTCAGCTATCTTCCCTGCCATCTTTCTTCTGTTTCCCATTCCTCTCTTTTTCAATCAGCTATATTATCCAGTCCGAACTGTATGCCTGATAAGGTGCTCGCGCATGCGCAATATCTCTCAAGAAGAAGAATATTTTGCGAAAAATTTGCATTTTAAATAGAGAGGATGTATTCTAGCATAGATTTCTATAATAATATTCCATAAGTAGACCTATCTTAAGAAATAGGAAGAAGATCTTGCATGTAAGGTACCCGCTGAATATACCAGTCAGTACACAATCTGGCTACGGGAGTGTGTTAGCGCATGCGCAATATCTCACCAGAAAAGTTATATTTTATCATGAATATGCATTTAATATGGTTACGGGGTATCCCAGCATAGATTTATGTAATAAATTATTATCAGTAGACCTGTGTTTATGAATAGGAGAGCGCCCTAGCTAGCATGTAGAGCGCAAAACTCCTACTTCACCCGCTCCCGTCCTTCCCTCTGCCTTCCTTGTATACGTGAGTGGACGAGTACGTGATCATGCTGTGTGTAAGTGCATTGTGTGTATACATGATATCCATGGTCATTGATATCAAGGTGTGCAATATGAGTGGCACCTTTTGGTGGGCCCCCCCCCCCCTCAACCCTGGTGGAGACCTCGAGAAGTAATGTACCTTATCTAGCAGACTGCATGGTACTCGCTCCCACCTCGATTACTGGATGGGGGGAGGGTACCCGGTCCCACCTAAGCCGATAGGTGGGACCGGGTACCAGTCTACCTCATCTAGCTGGCTCATTGTCAAAACCTGCAATGAGTCCTTGCAGTTTGGAGAGGTGGAGTTGCTTGGCCACCATCCTTACGGTAGAAAACTGAACTTGACCTGAGCTCTATAACAATCAGGTCTAAAATTTAAATCTAAGTTATTTAGTTTAAACATATTGCCTCGATCTGTTCCGGTTCGTTCTGGTATTTCTATCTACCCTAGTTATGCTTATAAAAAGTAGGAACGGCCACATTAAATGTTATTATTGCTTAAATGCGATTGTCAGGATATTTATCAATAAAATCTATAAACCAAAGAATAAACTATTTTACTATTATTAATTTATTCCTATAACACATATATTTATTTCTAATAAACCGTAGTAGTATTAGTATTAGTACATTAGCATTTCACAAAATTTGTCATGGTCAGGTGAAGATTGTAACTTCCTTTTCTTTAACCCTCACTGCTGAATACTTTTTCACATGTTCGCCTCTGTCTGCTGAATACTTTTTGCAACGAATCAAATTTCATGTATATGCGTTTAAAAAAATCATATCAAATAAACCGCCAATATCAAAATCCAAAATGTAACGAAGAATTACGAGTTCATGTAGAAATGATGATACAGAAATCCAAACTTGTGTTGTAACCGGAACAAACTTTAATATCTTACACACAGTGTGTCCATCTTGCACAAAGGAACAAAGACGCACACACGCGCGTAAGCGCGTGTGCTTCCTCTCGCGAACACCACCAGACTCTCCCTGACTCCTACATCTCTGTCCTATATATTACCCCCAAAACCCCTACATCCTGCGCGCGCATGTACCCGTTCTCCCAGACCGCATCCTACCCCCATTTCACAATGACCCTAGAAACGCTCGACCTAAAACACGTTTACCATTCTCCCCATAACATCAATCCAGCCGCACAAGATGCGGGACGCTTCGTCTACACAGAATACCACCAAAACAACCCTCGCTGACTAATTCATGCAACACCTGCAAAACACATGTTACATTATCTCCACCTTCCCCAAGACGATGACTACCCTGTCATCGATTCAGCGTCCCCGCTGATCTACACTTCAAACTAAACCAAAAAATAAATAAAAATTACTACCCTAATACTTTCCTAACTCAACCCAACGAAAAAACCTCTTTATGTCCGATTAAACAACCCACAATCAATACACAAACATAACAACAATCAAAATACAATAAGAAAACACATATGAACCATAAGGCTTCCTATACAAAACAAGTAACGATAAAGTTCGATCACCATACAAGTCAGAAACTCAACACATTTGGCAGTGAACATTTTGATATCGCTGCAATTACCATCACTCTTGCGTCTTTTTATGCTGTAACGTACGTGGCGTATGCGTATACCGACACGCATTAGCTAAACCACATTTAGCCATATGCTCCATTCATAATCCTTATTTAAACCTCTTAATCCCATTATTAACACACAGCACCGATGTGGACCTGACAACCTTTGTCACTTCCACACATCATGCAGCCAACAAAAATACGCAAAAATAATTTCATATTTTCAATTAAATGTTTTAGGCCTATCAAACTCTAATTGAAGAATGTGTTTAGCAGTCTGACAATATAGCGTAAACGTACCGTTAGCACAATTTCAAGAAAACGATCACACATTTCTACACAAAGTTTTACACAAAAGATTTTCTACGCAAAGACAACGGTCACAAGCATATACCATGAAAAAAAAATACCGCGTACATAAAGCAAAGAAAAAAAACAGATAAAAATACACATTTCTGACGATGTCACACTTTTACGTCCTCTGTCTCTGCTCTGTCAGCCTTGCCTGCTCTGGTCTGCTCTCTTCTCTCTCTCTCTCTCTCTCTCACATAGGTCGAGACTCGAACTTGCCCTCGCAGTATCACGGATGCAGCACCGGCCGTTCCTTTCTTCACGCTGACTTACTCACATAGTTCTCACGCCGTGTGTATATCCACCGTTCTCGTTCCCGCATCTCGCTATGTTTCTCCCGTCTCGCTCTCCACCATTCTTCGTCTCTGTCAATCGCTTTCCGTCGTTCTTCGTTTCTCCTACTCTTGCTCCTGTTCCCGTTTCTCTCTCTCTCTCTCTCTCTCTCTCTCTCTCTTTCTCTCCGTCTCTCTTGCTCTCTCGCCCACTCTCCGTTTCTCTCTCTCCAGTTTTCTTGCCAGCGGTGTACCCAGCGACTTCTCCTGTGTCTTCTTCCTTCTCCATCTTCCTTGCATTTGGTCCGTAGATCGATATAGTTGTAGGTAGTACCTTTAACTACCTTACGTTGCGTCCGCAAAGGAATACCCAGGTTATTGACTGTTACTGGCACCAAAATGTAACGAAGAAGTGATGTTGGATGTATAAATGGATATAGAAATCCAAACTTGTGTTTTAATTAAACTGCATAACTAACTAACTAACTAACTAATATATTGACACAGACCATAGATATATAAAAACACCCATACATTTATATATATATATGCTTGTATATATTTGTCCTGTGATATGATATATATATATTTATTTATTTATTTATCGTGTATATGGTCTATGCTGTGTGTTCACCGGTACCCGATAACGAACGATAGCGAACGATACTAATCTGTACCCAATCCGACAAAACGGTCCGATACGATACGATACGTACAATACGATTTGGGAAACAAGCATTTGTGTTTGTCACTGTTTGAGGGATTTTAATTCGTATGTGAATGTAGGCGCCACCGAGTAATCCTGTAAGGTAATCAAAATTATAACTGTTTTAATGAAATATATAACGTAGGGTGCATGTATTATTATTAAGTGATAACCAAATTTTCGGAAACTTGCTAGTATTAGACTCTGTCAACGTACAAGTGTACTTTTTAATTTTAGAACCAGTTATTGAGAGTTAGTCTGAGTTAGTGCAAGTAATTGAAGTATAGTCCGCAATAGCTCTAGTACTATAGCCCTGCGGCAGCGATCCGTGGGCTATAGTACTAGAGCTAAGTCCGCAAATGCAG